ATGAAGCAGGAATTGGGGCACTTGAAGGTAATGCCCCAACTATTACCTTCAAAAGTTCCAATGTCCAGTTATTCAACACCTTCCTGAACCGAAGATAGACAAGCACTAAGCACTTCAATGCTAAGATCCATGGGGTCACACAATGAGGTTTCCAAGGAAAGGTGTTCCCTCCACACCCACTGCACCATTCAAAACCAGATAGAGCTTATAGGCAAGTATGTCCTCCACCATTCCCTGTACAGTGTGCCACACAGACAACTTCTACCCAGCTTCACCTGCTGCTGGCTGAGATTCAATAACTAAAGCACAAAATTTGGTAAAAGGGCAGCCAGTAGCTGGTCACAGTACAATAAATAGGAACACTTCATGCTCAATTGAGCACTGTTCCTGGCTGAGCTACAAATCTTCAGAGGATAAGGGTGGGTCATTCTGAGACAGAACACCTAAGAAGCAGTGCTGTCTTCCCCAGCAGCACCACCAGGAAGTCTCTCACCTCTGACATGCAACACTCTATAGAAGCTTATCTTCTCAACTGGCAAAAAAAGTCAACCTACTGAATATAACTGCCCTTTCAATCAGTTATTTCACCTCTTTCTCAAGAGATGACACTAGCTTCTGGTTCATTAACAGCTGCAACACAAGCCATGTTTTGAATTAAGAAGTCCTCCACAGGAGTAGAAATTCAATAGCAGGAGCTCTTCCAGCTTTCCTACATTTGTTGTGATCAGTCAGGTTATTGGATTGAGAGTCCCTCAAATGCTACAACTAGGACAAGAGTGTTTTAGGTGGAAAAAACAGACTCAAGTCAGCTGATTTCAAAAATTTCAATCTCTCAGTCTTCTGGGCAAAAAGCAGAGTTTATTTATCCAGGCTTCACCGACGAATATAAAACGTGTCCGTCCCCCCCCCCCAAAAAAAAAAAAAACAACCAAAAAACAACAAAACCCAACCCCCAAAAAGACTCAACTCCAATTCTTTCCAGGGTACAAGGCCATTTTGACTCCTGTGAAGCCTTACCCAAGTTATCATTTGCTAAAAGTGTGTTTCCATGCAATAGCACATATAACTGTGTAATTTGCTACACTTAATTTTTAGCATTGAAATCATATCACATACAGCCAAATGCTAATAAACTCCACAGAGGAAAGGCATTTTTAGTCAGATGCAGGTATATCAACTCTGAATTTACCCGGTCATGGCAAGCTGATTCTTCATTACCAGTGGCAATGCAGACTAGTAAAAAGACTACTTTTACTATGCAGAGTCTTTTGCAAATTGTTCAAGGTCAGAAAAGATAAAAAAACTTTCTCCCTCAAATTCTGTAGCTGTGTTCCTCTTTCATGTGGATTTATAGGTTTGGTTTTCACCACAAAAACCAGTCTGGGAAACAGCTTAAGCCCAAAATGAGCTGCCTAGATAAGAATTATGTTAATACCTTTCTACAGAAAAATCAGCAGTTTTCCCATTTGCTACCGATTCTAATATCAGCTAACTTGGACTTTGGAAACTTCCTTGGAGACTTCCAGACTTAACTAAACTTCTAACAAGTTGAGGCTTGGTTTGGAAATTCCTTTTTCAAAAATGTGCCCATTTCTTACTTGCAAACCTGAAAGTATCAATAGGATCCTGCTCGAAGACAAAACCAGAGGCACCAGTTCTCCCAGATAGGACAGGAGACTTATCACATGCTGCCTCTCCTGTGCACCTGCAGGCAAGCATTTTCCATGCCCATGACGTTTGTTTACATATGAGAGCCATGCTCACCACCCAAACTGCAGCTAGAAGACAAAGTCTCATTGTCTCAGCGTCTGCTGAAGTTGGTTGCTGAAGTACAGCAGCCTCTGGATCTCTCCCAAGATACCATACGGTGATCCTCAACCTTGCTGAGCCTCTTTATGAACAAGTATAAATCTGTTACGCCCTTAAGCTCCCTGCTGTAAACATCTCAGTAATTACCCACCAGCGGCAATTCAGCTGTTCCATTGCTATTCCCGCTCCAGGACCGCTTGGCTCCCTAATTTGTGTGGTTTTTTCTCTCCCTGCTCTCATTCTGCTCAGCAATTACTGGCTCCCCCACCACTGATGGCTCTCACTTGCTGCACCATACTGAAATCAGCCCCTACATTTTAAAAGCTGAGAATTGTTCCTTCACGTTATGTTTTCGTACATGTTCTGGAGCTTTAAGTATGATTTGGCCATGTCCTGGAATGGCAAAATTACACTTAAGCATTTGCTGGAAAATAATAACATACATTTTTCATCCAAGACACTCATGCATGCAACTCCATTATTTAGTTATCTTCTCTCTCTTTTTATTTTCACATCTAAACTAAGTAAGACTTCAAAAATGGATTTGGATGAGGCAGCTTGGTAAAAAGCTCCACTTCTCAAGCTTGTAAGAGCATGGGCAATGTAAGTAGGAAGTTTAGCAGCTGACATGACTACCTGGAAAGCACAGCAGATGGGATGCCAAAGGACATACGACAGGAGGGAAAAGCAAACCAAAGCCATTGCCAGACTTCAAGGCAACTTGGTCTGCAGAGAACAACTTTCAGTAGCTGTATCTAATGATGCTAGCAACATCACCATTGTTGTGTCTCTCAGGAAGAAGAGGTTTTTGAGTTTATAACCATAAGGAGCTTGCCCACATGCAAAAATTTGTCTACATTTCACACTGAGGTTTTCTTTGTAAAAGTTCATAACACAACTGTTTGAGAAGAACAGAGATGTTCTCCTACAAAGTTCCTAGAAGATAAGACTACTTTAATTCATTTGAAGGTCCATTAATATTTCTCAAAGGCCGTACAGCTTTCATTTTTTGCTAAGCAGTGACTGCTTAATTTCCAAACCAACAAGCTTCCTGTTCTCCAATTCTGAACATTTTTCTCTAATGCTACAATAAGAACTTATTAAAATCAATGGATAAGCTGGGATCAAAACTGGAATTCCACAATCCTCAGTTTATGTAAAAACCATGCGACACCCTACATGTTGCATTGGCACCAGCCTTAAAAACTTCATCAAACTAGCGCTGACACACTGCATCCTACAAGACAAGACCATTACTGCATTCATGAAGTTTGACAATGAAAAACAAACTGAACCTCTTACAAGGGACTTCTAAAAGTATGTCTCCACAAAGACTTTCTGTTGGTATGAAGTTGGTATCTGCACGCAAACATCACAACAAACCTCCCTGCCATAACAGTATTAAAGACATATGGGTGACCTGGAATAACTTAAGCAGCCATCATGAAAACCTTCAGCTTTTGCTCAGGCAGCCAATAATCCTTCCCAGGCAGGGATGTTTTGTTTGCAGTTAACAGAAATCAATGCTAGCTAAGCAGTATTTTACACAACCAAAATGAAGAAAACATACTGCAGAAATGGGAACTGGCTATACCTACATCCCAACATTAAGATTTGTGATTTTGTTTTGGACAAACTCAAACATTTTATAAAAGCACGGTACTTAATTATCACAAAATCAGGCATTTTAGTACTGACAGGAACAAACAGTCATGCTTTCATTTTGGCACTACAGAAACATGTAAACATTAGGCTAATCATCCATATGAGCTTTATCACTCTGCTTTTATCTGCCATCCTTTGGAAAATGGGAGGGGAGTAAGGGATGATGCTATAAAAGTGCATAGGATTCACTAACACCACCCAATGTACTTTTACAGTTATCTTGCACCAGCTAAGGCATTACAAACCGATCTGATAATTTTGACTGTCCCATGATTCAACAAACCTCAAGGCAGATTAAGCATCTGCTTTCAGGGTTTTTCCAGTCAAGTGTATCAACACTTCAAAGTCAGATGGTATCTCTTTAGTAGCTTCTTCCATTTACCAATTTAGAGTCCGCTGACTTCCTGAGCAACAGACCCCATGACTATTCAGACACAAACAATGAAACCACAAAAAGTTATGTAGCAGTTAACACAACTGAAACAAATGTCCCTGTGACTTGGTTTCCAACTTGCTGTGACTGACTTGTCCCATGCACTCGGCTTTAAAAAGCAGCTTATTAGCTTTGTGACTTCTTTATTAAAAAATATCCTTCATGAGATGTCACAGAAAAACACAAGGTAAATTAAAAATAACTTTCGAAAACAGTGAAAGTTAAAATTTTTAGTGCACAAGAACAGTACTTACATTTTCCTATATAAAGAGTGATAAAACGTCATGTTTTCCCTTCATTGTTGACACTGTTGCCATTTTGATGTTTCATTAGAGACTGGATGAACTGAATGCTTTTAAAACGTAAACTCTGCTATATGACTACATCTTCCAAATGTCAAACATCTTCCAAGCCACAATATTAAGCACTAATTCACCATTTTAAAGCCACTAAGTTTAAAATTTGCTGCAGATTTAGAGCCCATACAATAAGGTCTTACTCAACAGTATGTTACATCTAAAATATTTAAATATTAAAAAATTCATTGAACAGTAAAATGTGCAGTACTGTCAACTGCAAGTAAAGCTCACCGATTCTGAAATGATCTGCCAGCAACGTTGTCTCTGTATGAATCAAACATAACATGATACTGATCTCTACTCCACTCCAAGACAACCTGTAAAGAAAAAAAAAAAAAAACAAAACAAAACACTTCATGTCACCACCTTCTAAAATTAGACACTTAAATTTTTCTTTTTGAAATGTTTAATCACAATCAATTTTGTTCAAATTGATCTATGCCTTAATGCACAACTAACCAGACCTTAATCCAAACTAAGTCATTACACTGAGCCAACAATCAGCCAAAGAACTTAAGAGCACACTTGATTCAAACTTGGTTTTCTCCCTGCAAGTAAGGATTTAATGTTTTATGGACACACTTTTTAAGCTACTGTTCATTTAGGTTACCTCCCTTTTATTTCTAACCTTTAAAAATTCAGGAATGTTTTCTCAAATATGGGACCTAAACCAAATATATTTCAATACAAGCAGGGAACCCCTATCCCCTGCCATAACTTTGCTTGTCTTCCTTTCTGTTCTCATAGAGAACATATTGAAGTATATACACCTCTGAAATCTAAGCTTTACAAACAGCCAGGCCAGGGCATATCAAATTATGCAAATCGACCTGGCCAGTATAGGTGGTATACTGCAGCCAGACTAACCCAAGAGCAAACTACTTCTGCAGGCTGCAGCCTCTCTTCCATCCCCCTGCATTTCTGCCACCTGCCTTTAGCTCCACACGAGTTCACCTGGTCCTGCAGTGAGCCAAGTCACGGAGCTAAACCAACAGAAAGATGAACCTTCAAAAACCAGAGCACTTGATCTTCCTCTAATTGGTTACTGGAGCAGATAAGAAATGGTGGGAACACACAGCTGAAGGCAGGGTTGTCTTCCCCACCTTCACCCAGCCATAAAGGTTGCTCAGCTAAAATGTCAAGCTGTGCCCCACTTAATTGCCCTTTACCAGCCATCCGCACTTCTGGGCATTTTTTAAATTAGCTAAATGGGAAACCAACCTCAAGCCAATTTTTACTTTGGAAAGCTGCAACTTTACATTCCACTTCCATTCTGAAACGTACATATAAATACACATACAAGACAAAGGCCTACAGTTGTTTTCATTACTAACAAATTATCTTACATCATGGTTCTGAACAACAAAAAAGTGAAATTAGAAAAGAAAAAAAAAAGCATGAGAAAATTGAGCCAAAATTAATATAAGACATTTAGGTTCTTTAAGAGATAAACCTCCTATGTTATCTTTTACATCGGAAGTCTAACCTTAAAAACTACAGTGGCATCTTATGCTGCTTTAGAGATGAAGGTGTCATGGCTTATTTACCTGCATAAGTACATACTTATACATACTGAAGAGTTAAAAAAACACCAGGGAAGGATAGTACTTACTTTACACCACTATTCCTAGATTTGAATTTTACTATTACTTATTTCTTGTATTACAGGAACCATGAAATATAGCATTTTTCTATGACAGCATTCAGAACTATAACATAAAGACTACTGCCTTCCCTTTTAAGAAGGGATAGATAGACTTCTGTACCCTTATGCCCACTAAAGCAAATTAAAGCCTTCTAGAAAGTGGGGAAGCCCCATCATATGGCTGGACGGTAAGTGTATGCATACACACAATTCCTGCCAAAGCTACAAATGGCCTTTTTGTAACCAAGATCACACCTGTACATTCCCCCTTTATGCAAAGAACGTGATCTCCCAGGTCAGCATAAAAGTCTCCTCCTTTTAACCACAGAGCCAGGAAGCATCTTCAAAACACACTATCACACTTTTTCAAATGCAAATCATTATGTCCTTCTTCCAAATACACAAATACAGCACACACTGAAAGATATCGATGCAGGAACAATTACTACTACTGATACTGATGAATTGACACATGCTGATCTGCTTCTAGAAGAAATACAGACATTCAGGTATGAATGTAATTTATTATATGAATAACACGGCTCTGTGGGAGAAAAACATTAACAATTCAAGCCTTTGCTTTTTACCTTTATGCAGCTACAACCAAAAAGACCCAGGACGGATCTTGTTACAAACACATTGAGGAAAAAAAGTTAAGCTCTTCCCACCGGGTACCTTTTTTTCCATGTAACTGTTTCCTCCTGTCACATTCTACATGTTGCAATAATACCTGGAGGCCACTTTGCTTCAACTTTACATAGTGATACTATAAAACCACAAAGGAAACAACATCAAAAAGAGGGTGACACCCTCCATTAGGAGATACTGTATCAGACAGGTGGCAACGGTGGCTCTGGCATGTTCAGTTATAAAACACTTCACAAAGCTGAGCGACCTTCCTACAGAAGGACGGCCAAGAAGAGTTTGCAACCAAACTGTTCTAAAATTTAAAGCTCATCTTACAACTAGGGTACAGCATTGGCTTAGACCTGGCTATCCTGTATGTTCTTGCAGAAATGTTCCTGAATCAAATTTCATGCACTGTTGTTTCATTAAGCTCAAGTTTTTTTCTTGAAATCAAGCTTATTTTCAGCTTCAGGCTATGAGGATATCATTATCAATCTCAAATTTTTTGTCCCACCCATCTATTTTTATGCCACCATTAATATCGGTATTAGCATGAATCTAAGCAAGCAGATCTAATTTTGCCTACTAGGACAAAAAAAGATGGCTCTGGGGGTGGGAGAAAAGCAGAACTGCAAATGCTGCTCAGACAGAAGGGTCTGATAAAGTGTTGTCTCATGCTACTTTTTACTGCTTGAGAGTTTCTCATAGATTTTTAAAAATTATTGAGCTGATAACTAGAAGGAGTTCTTAGTTTCATTTTCAAAACAGTGTTATATATTTGTTACTTATACATTATTATTTTCTATTACTAGTTATTTATTAGTTGCTGCCTTGCAGACTCTGTACTGGAGAAGTGTTTTCCATTCCCACTACAGGTGTCAGAAGAGGTCTGACTGTTAGTTCCCACAAGCCTAGTATTTCCTAAATCCTGAAACTACCACTGTTTACCAAAACAGAACACTTCAAATCATAAAAGTAAAAAGCAAACTGCATGCAGACATCTCTTCCCAAGATCATTTACCATCCCTGTAAAAGAAAAAAAATAAAAAAATAAAATAAAATAAAAATAAATCCATAAAGTTGGGGGTTGGGGTTTTGGTTTGTTTGGGCTTTTTGAAAAACATTGCTGGTCACTTTTATCTTAACATATAATTTTGAAGATTTACTCCTACATGAGTCTGTCAGTTCTTTGTTCAACATCTAAATAGTAAGTAAGCTTTCCAAATAGCTCTAAAAGGGCTGGAAGTAGAAAACTGAGATTTGCTAGGAAAATAATTCTGAGCAGTGATTTTTTTGACTCATTCTCTGCGAAATCTGCCATAACCTTGACAACTACCTGAAGTGTTTTAAAAAAATCTGCAAACTTCTAAGAAACCATAAGGTTGCCTTTAAGTCCCCATTCCGAAGAAAGTAATCGAAGTTCCACAGCACCAAGACACATACACCAATCCAAGCTGATAATCATGTAATCGTGTACAAACAGGTGCCTGAAGCATTGCTGATGGCTTTCAAGAGTTTCAGGGACTTGTGAACTC